ACCCCCTCCCCCACCGTCGAAAGACACAGAGACATGGCTCTACACACAGCCCTCCACCGCTCGTTCGCCGCCGCCATCGCCCCCGCCGCCGGTGACACACACACAAAGCTCGCCACGCACACACACAGACGCCATCACTGGCCTATGTCGTCGCCGTTATACTATGCCTGAACTTCCTCTACAGCGCACCAGTGGCCGTCGGAGGCCGATGCCGGGCGAATTGAATCGGAGATGGCAGCGAGCGACGGGCAATTTACCGATTAAGATTAGAATTTTAGGTTTTTTTTTAGCCTTTTTGCAATTTTATTACTTTTTTTTTTATTTTCATTTTAATTCATAGTCAAATTTGTAATTTTTGAAATATACACAAAATATTATATTTTATATATATTTTTTATACACATTTAAATATTATATTTTTTAAGCAAAAAATAATATATAAATAAATAAAATAATAAAAAAAATAATAAGTATATTTTTATAATAATAAAAAATGGAATATAATGAAATACTAAGTATATTTTTATAATAATACACACAATTTATCTTGGAATCATATAAGACATGTTATATATATCACGATGCAATTTATAAAAATACACATTGCTCATTATAAAACAACATATTGCACTCTATACAATCCACAATTAATATCGCTAGCTTTCCGCCAAAATACCACACATCATAAATCTAAAAATTGTATCTACATAATAATTTAACATCCATCATATTATCTGTAGATAAAAAAACGCAAGCATGTTAACATATCCAAATTACAATAGTGTACTTTCTATATCAACACGTTGCACTTTATAACACACAATGTTGTACTTTATAAAACAACACGCTGCACAACCACACTTCACAATAGAGACCGAAATCGACCAAACTCTAATTTTTTCAACTGCAAATAATATAAAACATAATAAATAAAAGTGTTATAGTATTAAAAATAAATTTAGTATAAATGACAAATTATTTTGATTGTTTATGATATTTCGATTAGCCGAACCAAATAAATCGGTTGATTATATTCATTTTCAATTCGATATGTGAGAAAAAGTTTGGTTGGTTCAATCTGCACAATACAAGCCATCTTCTTGCACTGTATTGTTGGACGGATTGCACATTAATAATTGTTAGATTGCACAACATATTTTGTTTCCATAATATATTATTTTTCTAATCAAACATAATATGGATTAACAAATATTAAACAATAATTTATATTAATTAATATAATTATTTCAATTATTTTGGTTATTTCAATTAACTGAAAAATTAAACGTACATATTTATAATAAAACATGATATATTGTGCATTAGTTAAACTTTTGTTATATTACATATTTGCCTCAAGTATTAAATTGAAATTAAAAAAAACTTTAAAAAAATACAATCAAGTCCCTACAACCTATCAAATTCTCAGAATGTAACCCCCACAATTTCAAACACATTTTCAATATGTCAATCCCGATCACATCAGCCGGAGCTTACTCCCGACGTTCGTCACTGATCCTATGGTCGCCAATCCGCCGTCTTTACGGCCCAACGCCTATCTCCGCCGCCGGACGCGGCTCTGCATGGAAAAAAAATTGCAGATATGCCATTTTCTTTAGGTATTGTTGTCGTCTTCGTGCAGGGACGGAAACAATGGTCGTGGCAACGCGACGAGATGGCGGGGGAGTGATAAAAGACCGTCGTGAGAGGAGGACCACACAGGCGCATGGAGAAATCGACCACGCCGGCTACGTACAGTGCCGGAATCGGGGAGTTATCTAGATTGACGGCGGCGGACTGGTTTCAGCAGCAATGTGACCGGAGATGCTAGCGACGACGGCTTGACTGAGGTCCGGCAGCGGCGCGACTGAGTTTCGGCAGAGGCTCCGTCGAGCTTGTGTATGTTTTCATATGTGTGTGTCATTGTGTTTATGTGTGTGTAAGTGTGTGTTTATGTGTGTGTAAATGTGTGAGAGATGGTAGGTAGATTAGTGGTTAGTGGTCTAACTTTTTTCATTGACCTGCTGTTTACAATTATTTGCGAAAGTGCTACTCATGTTTGACTGTGATTTATTAAGTTTTGACTTGATCATGTTCATTGATTCGATTGATCTAATGATCCAGGATCGTTCTTATTTCTTCCAGTATCTCAATTTCTCATATAATCCCTTTCCACTTATATTATGAGGAAATATAGACTAATTAAACCAAACTAATCGATAATAAAAGCGTCACGATTGCGAGAAAAAAATAGAAAAACC